ATTGCATCAGTAGTGCTCTTTCTGGGCATGAAGCCATACTGCTGCTCACAGATATCCACTTCCTTTCTTAGCCTAGCTTCCACTCCTCTTTCCCATAGCTTCATTGTGTGGCTCATCAACTTTATACCTCTGTAGTTGCTACAACTCTGCACATCACCCTTGTTCTTAAAGATCAGCACTAGTACACTTCTCCTCCATTTTTCAGGCATCTTCTCACTCTCTAAAATCCTGTTGAACAAACTAAATAGAAACTCTACTGCTGTCTCTCCTAGACACTTCCACACCTCCACAGGTATGTCATCTGGACCAAGAGCCTTTCCATTCTTTATTCTCCTCAGAGCCTTCCTAACCTCATCCTTTCTAATCTTTGCTACTTCCTGCTCTACAATATTCACCTCTTCCCCCCTTCTTGAGTTGATTTTTGATTTATATAATTTAGGTGGTCAAGGGCTTCACAGTCTCTATGGGGTACTGGGAATTTTGGGTGGGTAGCAGCTGCAAAGTGACTGCAGAAAGGCGTGTAAGACACGACCATGCATCTACTACGACTAGGTTGTCATGATTTAGGCTGTAAAATAAACTCTTCCAGATTTCTAGATATGAGAGCTGCATCATCCATGGATGGATGTCTCTACTAATCAGACTAGGTTTTCCCCAAAATGTTTTCCAGTTGTCTATGAAGCCCACATTGGTGAACATTCAACCACAGCCAGTGATTGAATGACGACATGCAGCTATACAGGTCATCATGATCCCACACTTTGTAATATCAACAATTCAACAAGCAGACAATGTGCAACCATGAATACCTTTGAGAAATGTGCACAGTTGTCACCATTTGTCATATTCACTGACTGTATTTTTTTTAACAAATAAATAAAAATCTGCCATCTCTTATGTTTTATCATGACAGTGGCAGAAAGGAGAGATTATCTGGAAGTTGATAAAAAATATTTAAATCATTATGCAAACCAGTTATTAACACTAAATGTTGTTTAAATGTCAACCAAATTGTAGTCAGTCTTGTTAAACACTGTAGCAGAAACAAGACTTCAGATATTGTTTCATACAAACTAGTTCAACTCAAGCATACTACGTATGCCTTTTACTCAGTAACTACACAGCATGTGGTCAGCTACCATGCTGCTCTTTGACCACCTGCTTTCATGTACAGATTATGAGAAAATGGGCCCCCAAATAGAGACATGAAGGAACCCCTATAAGAGTAAAACCCACAGTTTGAAATAGTCACAAATTATTTTGTCCTTTTTTGTAATTTTGTGCCTCACCATACTTGTTTTGTGTCTCTTTGTAGCTGTTTTGCTTTTATTATTACTCATTTGTGTCTCTTTGTAGTTGCTTTACTTTTATTTTAGATCGTTTTGCATTTCTTTGTGGTTAAGTTTGTGTCGACTTTTACTTGCTTTGCGTGTCCTTGTGACTGGGAACTCTTTGTATTTATTTTGTCCAAAGTCTTACTTATTTTGCTTCTCTTTGTGGTAATGTGCTTCTCTATGTACTTGTTTTGCTTCTCTTTGTAGCTTTATTGTCATCCTTTTAATTTTATGGACTTTCGAACAAGGAATAAGTCATTTTATACAAAGGCTCAGATCCATGGGTGCCCTAACCCCTTGTGCCCTGGGTCAGTGCCTGATAGGCCCATTCAGGCTTGCAGTAAAGCTTAAATACAAAACACATAAAATGAAATAACACAAAGTGAGCATAACAAGTGAGCCATTACACAGGCTTTGTATGTCATGATTCTGTCCCGCCTGCTTCCAGTCTCATGCTTTTATTTTGACACTACTTCCTGCCCCCAGCTCACCCTGATTCCTGGGAAATTTAGCTCATCACCCACATTGGTTTCACGTGCTTCTCATTACTCACACCTGCTTACAACAGCATATAGGCAGCTTCCACACACCAAGAAGCTACCAGATCGTTCTAACTCCTGTTCAGACTTTCCAGCATTTTTTTTTCTGTACCTGTGATTCTAGCTGTGACCACCAAGTACTGCCTAACCCCTCTGATTCTGCTCGTGTTTTCTGTGTATTGACTATCGGACTCTCCTCTCTGACCTCTCATTTGTGGATCCCTCAGCTGCGTAAGTTTACCCTGGACTGTATTATCGACCTGAGTGTTACTTGATGAAACAGAATCCTGCTTTGTGTTATCGTTGTGTTTGTGACCAGCGCTGTTATTAAAGAGACAGTGTTCCACTTTTACTCGTCTGGCTCTATAATTGAGTTAACCCTCAACATCATCGGCAGCTTTACGCGCTGATCTTGTCATTAGGATCTGGCCACCATGAATTCAGCCAATGAAGAATACTCACGTATTGGCAGTGTTTCAGTATACAGGCATCTGAAGGACAGCTTTCATGCCACTCATCAGCTCAACACACCTGTTCACCCACTCCTCCGATCTCCCAGAGTCACAAACCGACAGAGCTCCCACACCTCCATCAGAGTAGGGATGGTTTTTCACACACCAGCAGCCCAGCCTTACTCTGAGGAGACCCCCTTGACCCCAGCTGAAGCATGAGCTATCAGACAGGAACTGAAAACCCTGCACTGAAGTCCTTTTCTTGGCCTGTTATCAACCTGCAACCTGTGCTTGGTCCAGTTTCCCAGCGGGTCGACCAGACCGCCGACACCGCCCTTGTCCTGAGTCCTCTGTTCAGCTGGGTGCTTTTTTCTGTCCCCTGGGCCACCCTAAGGACCGCAAACCCTCTCCCTTTGAGGGAACCCGGTGGGCCATCTGTCCTGGGGGACCAGGGAGAGGGAGGACCAGGAGGCCTCAGACCCAGCCTGTGTCCCAGCTGCAGCCTCTAGAACCCTTGCCCTTTGAAGGAACCCAGTCAGCCCTCTGTCCTGGTGGTCCAGGGAGAGGGAAGATCAGGAAGAAGCCTCAGACCCAGCCTCATTCTCAGCTGCAGCCTCCAGAACCCTCGCCCTTTGAGGGGACCCGGTGGGCCCTCTGTCCTAGGGGTCCAGGGATAGGGAGGAACAGGAGGAAGCCACCAACTGGGGCCCTGGTTCCTGTTCGTGTGCCCAGTCTCCACCTGCCGCAGTTCATGTCTCAGCCAGACCCCCAGCTGCTGCAGTCTCAGCCCCAGCCTGTGTCACAGCTGCAGTCTCCAGAGGCCTCGTCTCGTCCCCCCCAGCCACTGCTGCTGCCTCCCCAGAGCCAATTTCCGTTCCTGAGCGGGTCGGCTGGACCACCAACGCTGCCTCTAGGCCAGTCCCTGTTCCCAAGACAGTGACAGTGCCCCCCCTTCTCCCAGCTCCTGAGGGGTTCACTGACAGTGACGGCGCCCCCCTTCCCCCAGCTCCTGAACGGGTCGGTCGGTGGGCCAACGCCACCTCCAAACCTGTTCCTGTTCCCAATCATCGCTGGTCCTGCCCCTGAGGCTACCTCCCTGGTCCTCTATCCAACACCAAAGACAACTCCCAGACTGGCGGTCTCCTGCTCAGTCCTGTGGCCGTCCTCCTGAGCGGCCTTCTGCCAGGTCCTGTGGCAGTCCTCCAGAGCGGCCTCTCAAGTCCTCTTCTTGGTTCCGAGGTCGTCCTCCCGAATGGCCTCACCGCTACCCAGCCTGGCTCCGTGGCCATCCTCCCAAACGGCCTCTCTGCTCTGCAGCCTCGCGGCGTGGCCATCCTCCCGAATGGCCTCTCCGCTCTACAGCCTGGTCCCGTGGCCACCCTCTCGCACGGCCTCTCTGATCTCCTGTGTGATCCCTTGGCCACCCTCCCAAGTAAGCTCTCATGTTCCTGGCCTGGTCTCTGGTCTGCCCACCAGAGCGAATGCCTTTTCAACCAGGATTTGTGACTGCTGCCACCCTGATCTGAAGGGCTTTCTCCTGAGGGGGGGT